GGTTTAGGGTTTAGGGCTCAGGTTGTAGGTAGACAGATTAGTTGCTGAGTTCATACGCCCCCAGAAAGGTGCACACTTCCTGTTAAGTAAGGGATCATAATCTGCCAAGAAGTGTGTAAAGTGTACTCATTCAGCTACTGAGCCTGTGGATGCGGTCTCCATGCCTTCCCAGGTGGTCTGACGGCTGAAAGAAGTCTCCGGAAGCTCGGACTTAGAGCTCTTGCCTTTCGCCAGGGGAGGCCCGGCGAGTGCGCATTGGAGCATGAGGTTCATTGCCGCACACTCGTGGTGCAACTGCCGCTTCCGCAGTGTCTCCAATGCTTGCACCACCGCCGAAGCCTCCTCCACCTCGGCCTTTACCTTTGGGGCCCCCGCGGACACCCCACCCTTGAGCCCGGGACGGCCGACTTTGGCGGCCGAACCGGGGCGGAGCTCCTGCCTTCCATGGGCAAACTTGCAGTTTCGGCCCCGCTCGCAGCGGCCGAGCTCAATGAAGTCCGCGCAGAGCCGGGTCTTGGAGAAGTCGGGCTGCTCGCGGAGCTGCACGGCGCCATGCGCAAAGGCGCAGCTCGAGCCCCGGGTGCAGGCGCCGACCGCGAAGAACTTGCAAAGCTGCGTCTTCTTGTGAACCTGAAGTCGACGGGCTTCGGAGTCGTCGCACATGATCTGCGTCTTCTCTGCTGCCATTGCTGGAGGAGGATGCTACCACAAAGTTGGCGCTGACACGACACGTCTGGAGCCACACCTTGACACGCAAATAGCCTAGAGGCTTTGATAATATGGTTTTGGGTCCACTATGCCACAATTCTAACAGGAACTATAAGGGAATGTTATCACTACTTAGTCCGGGCCCTTTATTGCGCAAATTGACCACGAGCAGGAGTGTGCAATGCTACAAACTTGTAGCAGAACCATTCGCTAGACGAATGACGCTGGCAGCACAACAAACATACGGATATTGGTGTGAGCAATTTCTTGTGTACTTTGACACAAATTCTTGTGCACCACGAATACTCATTGTGAAAATGACTGCATTTGCTACTGGTATTGTCCGTGCCAAGCGTGTTCCATCTAGTGCTGTTAGTGGTGTCCTTACCGTAACTAACATTCTTGTTCAAGCGACGTCTGCTGATATCGTTGCTGTTCTTGTTACTCGGTGTAGGGTTTAGGCCTTTGTTCTACAATACGGTCCTACTTGCAGTGGCCCAAGTAGCAAACATCATCCTTCTTCTCCTCCTCCTGCTGCTGTCACTATTAGTGCCTGCCATAGCCAGTTCCACTGCTAATTACTGCTGTTGATATTGCTATTGCCACTACTACGCGGCTACTCTCGGGAGTGTCCAATAGTGTCCCTGCCCCTGCAGCATGTGAACAATGTAGCCATGTGGGGAGGTGACGTTCAAATGCTCCGCAGTGCCTGGGCAACCCTCGACCCTGAATCTCGCGCCATCTGATCGTTCTTCTTAGTAGTATTTTGAATATCATCATTGCTAGTAGTATCAGTACTATCACTATATCATTATTATCATTGTTACCATCATAATCATTATTAGGACTATTTTGATGAATATCATTGTTATTCTGCTTATTTTTAAACTTATCATGACTCTTGCTACTATTATTATCACTATTATTACTATTCTAACCATCTGAGCGTCGTCTTGCCCAGGGTAAACTTCGTGAAGGTGAGGCCCTTCAGCGGTAGAGGGACCTTGTCCTGGATCTTCGGCTCAACCGTCTCCTGTTTAGGGTTTAGGGTTTAGGGTTTAGGGTTTAGGGTTTAGGGCTTTGAGAATTTAGGGTTTAGGGTATAGGGTTTGGGGTTTGGGCTTTAGGGTTTTCGGTTTAGGGTTTAGGGTATAGGGTCTGGGGTTTAGGGTTTCGGGTAAGCTTAGGGTTTAGCACGTAGGATTTGGGAATTTCGGGTGTCTAGTAATTCGTTCGCCGAAACGGGCACAGCAAAAATGCGCGCAGAGCTTGAAATGATCGCATTGAAAGAGTCAGAGATAGCAACATATCCGACGAGATTGAGGAGAGTAGAAATCAATACTTGCCAGTCGAAGCAACGAGTTTGGTTGTGAAAATCCTGTCAAACTGGGCATGCTCAGCATCAACATCATAGCACCTGCCAAATGTAGGCAGGGGGCTCACATTGCACATCCTAGTAGGACCTAAACCCGGCTTGCGTTTCATGGAACAGTCATCCAACCACGGAACAAGCAGTGATAGTGTGTGATCACGATGCGAAAGATCTCCTTCATGATCTTGTGCAAGGCAGAATCGATCTTTGGCCACAGCCTGAGCGACAACAAGGATGCCTTAGAGTTTAAGGGCTTAGGGATTGAAGGGCACAGTGTAGGGGTTAAGGTTTAGGTGCTGAGGATTTAGGGCTTCGGGGCTTAGGGAGCAATCCTGTGCTGCCATAGTGCTGCTTCATGAAAGGCTCCATCCATGTCAACTCCTGCCATCCGAGTTGCAAGACGCAGGGTCTCTAGAGCTCACAGCTTAAGCGGCACAACCGGCATGCCTTACATCGGCGCCCTTCATGATTGATGGGATCCCTGTTTTGCAGAAGCAGCAGGAGGTGGCTGTCTGTTGGAAGGCCCCTCTCGAAGGGAAAACAGAGATATTATAAGACAGCATGCAAAAGCAGACAGCGGTCCTCGACACGCGTGAGCTTCCTCCGCGGCAGCATGTATCTCGATTGGCCCTCAGCATGTCGAATTCGGAAAGCTGGGCATATCTGGCAAAAGCGAAACGGAGGTTATTATCAGAATGGCCCCCAAAACCCGATTCTAATTATGAAGGCCCCTACATCAGCCTCAACCGTTCCTTTGGAACTTTAAGCCTTTGCGACTCTGATCTCCGATTTCCGCATGCCGGAGGAGAGTAATGATTTAATGCAATCGTGACATGGCCATAACAACCACCACCAACTACAGCCGCATCCTCATCATCATGCGCATCATCATCTAAACCCCGAGCCCGAGCCCTCAACCGTAAACACAACTGTGCCATCATCATTATCATCATCATCACCATCCATCACCGTCATCATCATCATTATTATCTGCATCATCAAATGTCGTCGCCTTCCTCATCATCATGTCAACAAGCGTGTCCTTGAGGCTCTTCCGGGCTTGAGGCTTGGATGTTGTCGGCTTCGCGTCAGGGCCCAGACGAGGTTTAAGATTCGGATTTAGGGTTCAGGGTTTAGGGTTTAGGTTTTTGGGCTTCTTTTTGAGCGTCCTCTCCCTATAGGCATGCTGCCTCTAGGGCTTCTTCGGGGATGAAGGTTTACGGTCAGGGGCTTGGGATGCCCCGATGTTCTGAATAAGGGACCTACTACTACTTCTGCGTATTTTTGCTGATCTTTTGCTTCTGACACTCAAAAAAGGCCGGAGAAACGTCCTGGGGATTATTAGGCCTTTTCGTACATGGCCGTCATCAATGAAATCGAGCATGCTGCGGCTTCAGAAGGCAAACCCTAAACCCTAAACGGTTTAGGGTTTAGGGTTTAGGGCTGGTTCATCTGCTTGGACTGATTGTTTTGTTGACAAATCCCCAGCCTGAGCTTTGAACCTTAAACTCCGAATCTGAAGCACTAAACGACGATGAAGTCAATAACAAGCCCTACACTCCGCCCAAAACCCCAAACTAAACCCTGACCCAAAACCCAAACCAATAAACCCCTAAACCCCAAACCCTGCACCCTAAACCTTAAACCCTAAACCCCCAAACCCCGAGCCCCGAACCTTCAACCCTAAATCACAAACCCGAACCCTGAACCCTAAACCATGAACCCAAAACCCCTAAACCCCCAAACCTGAACCGTAAACCTAAAAACTCGAAACAAAACCCTGGGCCCAAAACCCGAAACCCCTGAAATTCTAAGCCCCAAGCCCTGAACCCGAAACGCTGAACCCGAGACCTTGGAAATGGTGTCATCGCCCTCCGTGGTGTCACTATCCGACTCCTCGTAAACGCTTCAGAGGGTGCTTGACTTAGAATTTAGGGCTTTTAGGGCTCAGGGCATTTAGGGCTTCGGGCTGATGGGCTTTGGGGTTTAGGATTCGCGGCTCAGGGAGTTTTTGGGGGTTGAGGTTGTTAGCCTCTAAGGGGCTGTGGCTTCGCGATAGAGGCGTTGCAGTTTCCGCTTTGTGAGTTTCGGCCTTAAAGTCTCAGTTGTGAGATATGACACCCTTCGAGCAACCATTATGTAAATGTAACAACCCTTCTATTGACCTATAGTACAGTGCAATCACTGTCCAAGAAACGATTGGATAAAAAACGTAGGGGCTACGTCAGCCGAACAACACCAAAAAACCAGAAATCTTAAACTGCCTTCTAGCTAAGAAATGAAGGGTACCCAACGTTTTAGGATCATTTCTTATTTCTGTGGTTTTCCAGGTCGTAACACTACAACATGAAGCAGAGGCCAAAATAAGAAATGTACGGTGCTACGTTTCTTATTTTGGCTGGTTTCCAAGCCCCAAGCCTAGGGCACTGCCAAAATAAGAAACGTAGGGGGCTGCATTTCTTATTTTGGCTGGTTTCCAAGCCCTACGGCCTAAACCCTAAACCCTAAACCCTAAACCCTAAACCCTAAACCCTAAACCCTAAACCCTAAACCCTACGGAGTCGGACCAGTGTTCTGGCAGTTGCATCTAGACACCAAAGGCTGAAGTCCACTGCAATGCTGTCTTGGCGGTGTCTGTCTGGCCTAATGGATAAGGCGTTTAGCTCAGTCGATACACTTCCATGGGCTCGATCCCCGGCTAAGAAATAGTTAAGAAATGAAGGGTACCCAACGACTGGGGGGCTGAGAAACGCGGAAATGTGAAGCTGAAAGGAAGCTGAGAAATGAAGGGTACCCAACGCTGGAAGCTGGCATTTCTTATCCAGCAGATGCACTGTAATAGTAACCCTTCTAGTAAGCTGGCTCATGCTACGAGCGGTCACCAGATCCCAAAAAGAAACGAAAGGCCTGATATTCTCGCGACATCACAGCTGCAGCTCACTAAAGGGTAGCTAAAACCAGGCGTCTAAACCCTGAACCCTAGACAATAAGCCCTAAACCCTTCACACCAAAGCCTAAACCCTACACCCTAAACCCTAAACCCTAAATCCTAACCCCTAAACCCAAAACCCAAAACCCTAAACCCTAAAGCCTCAACCCTACAGTGTAGGGTTACACCCTAAACCTAAACCAAGCCGCGTTGAGACCCCCTGGGCAAGGACGCCCGGCTTCAAGAGAGGGCGCGGTCGGCAGGTCACTGGTTCCGGGCATTGTCAGTAATTTCGTGGCCCGTCCATACTGTTGATGATATAAACCTGCATTACCTTAAAGGCTCTGAACTATGGGAAGTATGGTATATTCCTTATGATGGGCAATGCAGGATTTATATCATAAACCGTATTACCTCTTTAACGATTTCCATCGGGAAAGGTAGGCTTTCTGAGGTCCAGGTGGGGGTAAGGTCTGAGCTCTGCGCGGGAGTGGTTTTTAAACTCGGGTCCGTTTGAAGGTCTTTTTTAGGGCTTTGGGTTTAGGGTTTAGGGTACTATTTTCGGAACCGACATGGGACCCTATTGTAAAGAACTACCCTGCGGTTCTAGGCTTGAGGATTTAGGCTGTGGCGTCCCAGGTCTACCTGCCCCCGGGCCGGGGCGTGGAGCGCTAGGGTTTAGGGTTTAGGGATTAAGCCACGAGAAATCCGTAACTACTAGAACTAGTCATATTCGGGCCTGTAGCCAATGCTGTTAGTTCCTAACTTCCGAACCCTACACCAAGCCAAGCAGCGTCAAAGTCATTCTGCGGGTCATTGACACGGACTTCTTCCACATCCGGTTGCGACGGATATCTGCACACCTGGGATCTGCGCACTTCCAGGAACACCTGACCTGGACCATGCCCCACACACGAACCAGAACCCGCGAACATCAACCCTAAACCCTAAACCCGAAACCCTAAACCCTAAACAACCCAAAACAAGACCATCCAACACCCTCGAGCCAGAAAGCACTTCAAAGCCAAGACACCGAGAGGCAGGAGGAGAAAAACAGCGACATGGTATCACCTCCGGACGGCCGGGCTAGGGTTTAGGGTTTAGGGTTCAGTCTTAGGGTTTAGGGTTTAGGGTTTAGGCTTTAGGGTTTAGGGTTTAGGGTTTTGGGTTTTGGGTTTTGGGTTTTGGGTTTTGGGTTTAGGGTTTAGGGTATGCTTTAGGGTAGAGCCACATAGC